GAGGAATCCTCTATCAAACTTAAAGACAAACACTTACAAACTACTTAAAAAATGGAATAATAATGGTTTTCTTAATAAAAAATATAGTAACATTGAACTGACACAAACTAATATGAGTCTATCAAGGATATATGGTTTACCAAAAATACATAAAAAAGATAACCCCCTCAGACCTGTCGTTTCAACTATTGGTTCACCAACCTACTTTTTTTCTAAACACCTTTTTCAATTACTTAATAAATCAATTAACAAACCTAAATCATATATCAAAAATAGTTATGATTTCATTGATAAAATTGAACAATTCATAATTCCTGATGACCACACAATGATTAGCTTGGACGTTGCATCATTATTTACTAATGTTGGTGCTGAACATGTACGTGATTGTATCATCAAACGTTATTCACTCATTTCACAAAATTTAAATATCCCTTTAGATTACTTACTTGATGCTTGTCAATTTCTTTTCGATAACACTTTATTTCAAATTCAATGATAAATATTACCAACAAACTTATGGCACCCCTATGGGTTCCTCTATATCAGGTTTATTTGCTGACATTGTCATGGAGGACCTTGAAACTTCATGCATGATGAAATTATCTTTCAAACCATTTTTCTTTTTTAGATACGTTGATGATATAATCACTTGCATTCCAAATGATAAAATTCATGAGATGGTACATATTTTTAATAGTTATGATGAAAGATTGCAATTTACGTTTGAAACTTCAATTAATAACTCTATAAATTTCCTGGATGTTCTTATTATTAAAGATAACAATAAATTAATTACTAACTGGTATAAAAAACCTACATTCTCTGGACGAACTATTAACTATGAATCCAAACATCCTTTTTCTCAAAAAATTGCCATAATATACAACCTCGTTGACAGAGCTATAAAGTTGTCGAATAAAAAATTTCACCCACAAAACATTGAATTTATTACAAAAACATTAATTAATAACAATTATCCTTTGGATTTTATTAATAAACACGTTAAAAAACGTATTTGTTTTATAGAATCTAATTTACGAAATAAAAAAACTGATATTTATAAGATAGTACCAAAAGTCTTTTTACCCTATGTTCCTTTTTTATTTGAAAAAACATCTAAAAATCTTAATAATTATAATGTAATTGCTGTCCCAACTAATAACAATAATATGAGTCATGAACTCATTATTAAAGGGAAAGATAAAAATAAAAAATCTGAGAACACTAATACTATTTACAAAATTAATTGCAAAAATTGCTCAGCTTCTTATGTTGGCCAGTCAAAAAGGATGGTTGGTGTTCGTATTAATGAACATAGAATATCCAGGAATAATGTTATTGCTTCTCACAAAAATTCATTTAACCATGATTTCGAATGGGACAACTACCAAATACTTGATAGAGAAATTGATTATAACAAACGTTTGATATCCGAGATGATTCATATTAATTTGCAAAAGAAACCAATTAACAAAATGGAAGACACCCAAAATCTCAATAATAGTTACATTTATTTCCTCAACGATAAGAAGTCTGTTTAGCCACCTGTTTCAGTGTGCACTGACAGTTCTCTTACTTGTATATATATATATTTGTATTTTTGTTTACTGACGGTCCGTTGACCCCCTCATTATATAATTGTCAAGCCACGTGCTTCTACTCAGTGTTTAGATAGACTGTCTATCGTACAGACGTCTATTCCTCTACAATTATTTCATCTTCAAATGAATTACTTGAAGAAAATTTTCTTTTTTATTGGTAAAAACCTTTTTACTGTACTTTTTTTAAATTATATATGTAAAATTTTAATTATTTATTAATAAAAATCTTGTAGTTTCTGAAGAGGGCAGCGGTGCTGCTGAAACGTAAAAAGAAATAGTTTTGTTTTCTTTTGTTCGCCTTGACTCGGAGTGATCGTTATCTTCATGTTTTTTATATAATATAATTGAGGTAAAAAAAAAAGACAAGTTAATATTAATTGGTTTACGTCTAAATTTAATATATCCGAAATATTCAAAACCATATGGTTTTGAATATTTCTCGATATAGCGCGCCCGGTTGTCTACGTGACCTTGGTGGGAGGTAGGGAGAAAGGCGGAAGCAGGAAGCGTAGGAGAGTGCATAGAGGAAGGAAAGGGAAGAGAGCGGAGAAAGGATCTGGCAAGGGCCCGTTAAAAACCGGTTTTTTTTCCTAGCGGAGCTCAAATCTTCGCCCAAAGGACTGGCGAAGTATTTTGGCAAGGAAATGACCTTCAAAAGGAAGGTGTTCAACTTGAACAGTGGTTGTCAAACGGAATGACAACCGCGAAAATTGGCCGGTATCAAAGTTAATAAAATTCTGAAAGAAATGACACCTTGACAAAAAGAATATGTTAATTTTTCAATTAGATATCTAAGAAAAACCCAATTTTCAATGTTTTTACTATTTTTTTTATTTCTCTTGAAAAAATTAATATTTTTAAACGTTCTTAGGCTCATTGAAATCGTATTTTGTTATGCAATTCAAATTATATAAAACAATTCATCTACACATTCTTCCCTAGCGTATGCAAACCGTGAAAGTTGGCTCATAAAATGTCAAAAAATTGAAATTTAATTCTACAATAAAATATAATTTTTAAAAATCAAGTAAATATATCATTCTAAACTTCTCTGATTTATGTAAGTAAGTTTGAAATTTATACATTTTACTGATCAATTTTTGTCATATAAACATTAATCACAATTTTTTGACATTTTATGAGCCAACTTTCACGGTTTGCATACGCTAGGGAAGAATGTGTACATGAATTGTTTTATATAATTTGAATTGCATAACAAAATACGATTTCAATGAGCCTAAGAACGTTTAAAAATATTAATTTTTTCAAGAGAAATAAAAAAAATAGTAAAAACATTGAAAATTGGGTTTTTCTTAGATATCTAATTGAAAAATTAACATATTCTTTTTGTCAAGGTGTCATTTCTTTCAGAATTTTATTAGCTTTAATAAAATAAAGAGGAAAAAATTTCAGTTTTAATATTTTTGAAGATTTGAACAGTTTTATAGTTGTTGAAAAAGCAGAGTTCGCACAATTTCGGACGGTAGTGTATATTCCTCATTTCGTAACGAATCCAGTGGTATAAAAATCTCATTTTTTTAAAAAATGTCGATTACCGACTTTCTTTATCATATTAAGCAGACTTATCCAGACATCATACACTTTAAATTATATTTATTTAATAATACAATATTAATTTAGCAAAAGTTCTGCATGAATCAATCATTAACCTTTATGGGTCTGACGAGGTACCTGGTTACCTTTTGCATTTTCAAATTGATTTTTTTCATAATTTTTAAAAACGTGTCAACCTAAGGTTTTTTGACATCTTAAATTTATCTATACAAATTTTTTTAATATTATTTATAATGTACATTTTTTATTCATTTATTCGGAAATAATAAACAAAGTTTCTTCAACCTTAAAAGGCGGACAAGGTACCCGGGTACCTTTATACTTTTCATGCAGATAATTTTTTTTATGAAATATGTCATTTAGTTACTATAGTTAAATAATAATATTCATAAGAAATCGTCAGTTTTTTAAAAAAAATTAGCATAAAAATTTAGTTTGAATAGAATTAGATTGTACTAAAAATTTATTTTAAATTTTGTTTTGCAATGTAGCAAATAGTATATACACGGATACTATTTAATGAAAAACCAATGAAATTGTGAATATATACATAATACTTAATAAGTAATGGACAGTTTTTTAATAATCAACTAATAATAATAATTATTTATTAGCAATGTTTATGTATACAGTAAAAAGAAAATCTTATTTTAAGGTGAGTCTCAAAATCAGCGCTAGTAATTATAATGGAAATTGCATTGCGTAAATTCATCAAATCTGCTTTAAAAATGTTGTCTCTTAAAATAAGACCTCTTTTCGGCCTTAAAATAAGACTTTTTTACAGTGTATTCATATTATGTGATTATTACTTACATTGAAACGTCCACTACACTTAAAGTTAATTGAACTGCTCATTTTGATACAAAATCTTCAATAAATTAAACAGGGTACGCGGGTGCCCCGTCCGCCAATAGAAGGTGTTTTTTTCCTCAGTCCCATAAAGGTTAAATAGTTTATTTATTCAATTAAATAATACTTTTTCACAGTTTCCACTGATGTTCCAAAATATTTTCACACAAAGTGAATGTTTTGCGAATGTTCCTAAGATGGACACCTTCATAGAATTCATTGAAAAACAGGTAAAATAAAAATTAAACATCATGTAAGGATTTTTTTAACCAATTTTCTGTTTTTTTATTACATTTTTTGAAAGTTCTTATAATTTTTAATTGTTAAAAATTAAATAATATTTTTAAGAAATTAATTTTAACAGCTATATAAGAAATGTCAAATAACAATCAAAACTGTCGGTAACTATATTGACAGATTTCGATTCTCAATTGATAACTACACCGATATTGCTCCAAAGGTTAGGTACACTATTTGAACGTGTGTTTAGTATATTACATCTGTGCTAAATTCTTCTCAGTGTACCAACAGAAAATATTTGGTTTTTTATTTCAGTCTCTAATAAGTAGTCATAATGTTCAGACAATCTTATTTGATAGTATAGTTTGACGGGCGTTTCATTGTATCGAAATAATTAAATTCGAAATAAAATGTCTCTCTAAATTTGGACAATATATTACTTCCTTTGTTCTTAAATTTATAATAAACAGTAGATAATAATTGTTTTAATATTTAACTACAATACCTCTAAGAACATTTAACTCTTCTTTTGAACTCATTTCTTTGTCAGAGACGATTTATACCAAAAATGCATTAATAAATATTACAAAAAAAATTAAATTTTCGGTCTGAAGGCAATATTTATGTTTCAGGGTAGTACTTTTCCTTTCAATGCGCACCCTTGATTCTGATGAAAGTGACTCATAAGAGGGTGAACGAGGTTGCTTCAGTAGGAAACAAACAGTATAGATATGAATACAGTAGGCTTCTAAGTAAAAACAAGAGACAAATTATATTATTAATACGAACACAATGACAGAAGTAAAAAAGGACGATATTATAAAAATATTACATTCTTATCCTTTATGTCGAGTAAGTTTTTTATTTAGGATATCATTGGAACATTTTATTTTATAGTAAATACTATATGTAATCCGATCAATAAATTTGTGAAAGAAGACAACACATTTGGTGCAGAAGTCTTAATAATTCTTTAAACTGCATTTTACAACTAATAGTAAATGAAGTAGAAAAATAAACAGTGAACACTATAAATATTTCGTAATTTAAAAAAAGCTTTTTATTTCATTATAAAATAATGAATAAAAATTTAATTTGATTTTTCAATAATAATTAATAATTTTGTTAAGAATATGAAATTATTGTCTTTTAATTGTATTTAAATATTTTCATGAAATTAATTTTATTTAAAAAAATGAGATTCTGTTATTGTGAGTTTACAATGAGATTACAATGTGAAAAATATTTACTTTTTAAAGATTCAAAATAAAATTCCGTTAGTTCATTATTTTAGTAATTGTTTTAGTTCATTGTTAATTAATTGTTTTTAAATATTTAGTCTCCTTTTTATTACAAAAAGCTATTTAAATTCTTATAACTGTAAAAGTATCAAATTATATTAGCTAAGTTCAATGTTAAATTTCATGATTTGCAGTAGATAGAACATAATGTAGAAATAATTTATTAAAACTTAAAATTCAAAATACAATACATTTAAAATTTTTGTTACATATTCTACATATAATATAGAAAACTTTTTCTCCTAACAATTTTTTTTTAAACCAACTGTTCTAAAAGTAGTATTTACACTTTATACCGAACAAAAAATCACAATTTTTAATGCATTCAATTTTTATTCACGTTTTTATTTAAAAAAACAAGTGTAATAATTTTTTTTTAATTTACAAAATTGTTATATGCATCACTCAAAAGAGCGGTTTTTGGCACATAAGAAATGTTTATTGCAAAATTTTTTCCATGAAGTTTGAGTTCTTAAATATGGTGTCAAACTTTGACAAAAATTTTGTACATTTGAGTGTTAAATATTCAAACGCGTTTTTTTCGAAACGATGTTTTTGAAACTGGCGTACATCAAAACTCAAGTTCTAATGAACCGATTTAACCAAAAGAAGTCATTTTTTTTAAATTAAATCCTTTAAGCATCCCCCTTAAATTCAATTACTTGCGTTTCTTTTTGATTTTTGGCTACAGTTCAAAAATTATCAAAAAAATACCATTAAAAGTTTTTTTTAAATGCTGCCATTTTCTTATTTTTAAACAATTTTTATCGGGGTTAGGGTGATGCTTAACTACATGTCTCAGCTTTAAAACTGTTTTTTATTTTTTCGGATCCAATCTCCCTAAAAGTTTGGCCGCCGATTGTTCAAATTTTTTTTAGCCTTGACTTCAGTGACCTCTGGTGACCAAACCGATCCAATAAAAAATATTTTGTTTATAAAGTTTTAATGACCTTTAGTGTTATAAAAAAATTAGGTTCCTTTAAATAAAGTAATAAGCGTGAAAAAAAATTTTAAACTGTTTTTCACTGCTTGAAAAGTGTAATACTTTCTAAAGTTATTAACAATTTTTTAAATAAATAACACAGTGTTTCCAAACGGAATTTTTGCGCTGAAAAAAATCCGGTGTCCAAAATTCTCCACTACGTCACCATTCGAAAGAGCAGGAAAAACCATTTAGAAAACATAAAAGTCAACATTATTTATATCTTCACATATGTAAAATAATTACAATTTTAAATTAATTAATTAATTATTAATGTTAATAAAAAATTAAATATTTTATAAACAAATAAAGTTATCGCACTTCTGACGTTACAAAATGCAAGTTGATGTAATTTCGCATCAATCGAGCACAATATGAAGTATTTTCGTTTAATAAATAAATTATAATCAATTATAATGACAATCAATTGTTCGTAAAAAATAGACTTAAAAAAATTCTTCGTGTTAAGCTCGTTGGATAATAAATTATGTTAGCTTTTGATTGTAAGCTACAGAATTGCGATTGTAACTTTATTTATTTGTAAAATATTTCATTCTTTTATAACATTAATTGTTATAACTGGGTAACAAAAAAATGGTCATGTTGTGTTTATTTCAAAATTCCTGTGTTTATTGAATATTTGGGTGCCAATGAACAAGAAAATACAAAAAAAAATTGAATTTGTTCAGTTTCCTGAAAATGTGTATTAATGTTTCAAAAAATGGCTTTCTTGACACTATTTGGAGAACGTAAAGGCATAGATAGCTTTAATAGGGCTCAAAAAAAGCTTAAACCTTCAATTTTAAGACCTAAAACTGAAATGTTATGCAATTATTCCGGGGAACATGTATTTAACGCATAACCCCTAACGTATTCAATAAGTTGAATTTATAGTTTAAATCTTTGGCAATGCAACCTTGCTATAAAGCGATTCTCCACAATCGGATTTGATTGAAACTAGTCACTTAGAGGTTTTTTTGGGTTAGTGATTACAAATTTGAGGTTAGGTTTTAAAAATTCAATATGGCGGATCTGGTACGGCAGACGAATTTGTTTAAAATCGTTAAAATATGCTTGAGCCTTGTTACTCGACGGTTTTTGGGGTCACTGATCCGCCAATATGTCGAACGAATTTTTTAAATTTAAGAAACTGATTTCCCTGGATATTACTGTCAGGCTAAAATTACACAGGCACACAAAGAAAAAAAAAATTTCAATTGCCAGGACTGACATATGGTAGATTCTTTTTTGGGGTCGTTGATTACAAATATGATGTTAGTTTATAAAAATTCAAAATGGCGGCCCAAATAATTTTGAAATGAATGAAATCGATTAAAACTTTTTACTCCGTGGGGGTTTTCGAGGTCACTGAAGACGAATCTGATGTTAGATTTAAAAAAATTGAAATGGCGTATTCAATACGGCTTACGATGAAATTGAATTCAGATTTTTTTGGTTCTTGTTACTTAGGTCCTTCCTGGTGTCGCTAATTTAACTAGAACCAAAAAAATCTGAAAATAATTTCATCGTAAGCCGTATTGGATACACCATTTCGAATTTTTTAAATCTAACATCAGATTCGTCTTCAGTGACCTCGAAAACCCCCACGGAGTAAAAAGTTTCAATCGATTTAATTCATTTCAAAATTATTTGGGCCGCCATTTTGAATTTTTATAAACTAACATCATATTTGTAATCAACGACCCTAAAAACCTCCAAGTAGCAAGTTTCAAAGAAATCCAAGCAATTTTTTGAAAAAATCCACCATATTAGATCAGTCATTTTGAATCCGCCATTTTGAATTTTTTTATATATGTCATTTTTATGTTATTAAAGTCACTGAATCCAATTCAACATTCAGAAGTAGCAAAAATTCAGTTTTACATACAGAAATTAATTAAATTCCCATAGAAATCAATTTCTCAAAAATCACCCTTCCACCATGCCTGCAAAAAGAGAACACGAACTAATTTTTAGGTCAGACTACGATTTTCTCTTTAGATACATCTTAAGGAAGAGAATCTACCATATGGTAGTCCTGGCAATTGAAATTTTTTGTGTGTGCAATAAATCATAGAATATAAGTATAATTCATTTAAATTCATTTAAATTCATTTGAATTAATTAAATTTATTATTGAGAGGTTAAATGAATTTTTACGGAGTCGAGTTTTTAGTGAATTTTCTTGAGAATCAATTGTAATCATTTTTGATGACTTCGTAGATGGTTGCAGTGGATTATTTTTAGTATTGTATTCTACTTTCCCCAAACGTTCTTCTTCCTTTTTCAAAGCTTGTTTTTTTCTTTTTTCTCACATTCTATCATGTTTGAGTATTTTCGGATCTACAGAAATTGTGAATCAATACGCGTTATCAGTAAATGCTACTGTAGGAAAACTCTTATTTTTTTAATACAAATATTAAATTACCTGCAGACATTTTATTTTCTTGATTTTTGACGTTTGTAAATAGGTTACAATAAACAACTCGTTTGAACATCGTTATTTAAAAAAAGCATGGAATTTGACTAATTTTAAAAGAGTAACTTTACGTCAACTTCAAATTGAACATGTGAAAAATCATACGATGCAGTTAATCACGTTTTTATACATTTCCAATAAAATTTTTTTTGAAGCATTTTACAAATATATGTAAAAATAAGAAAATTAATAATTACAAAAAGATTTAGGTGGTTTTGACTTATTTTGTAAATGTGCCTTTAGTTAAAGTGTCGTTGGACAAAAGGTTTACGCTGTATGTAACAGATTACACAGCCCCACAAAAAAAAGTGTCATGTACTTTTGACCAAAAAAAATTCGTCCGCCATATTGGATCCGCCATTTTTGATTTTGAAAATCTAACTTCAGATTCGTAATCAGCGACACAAAAAAACCCCAGATACCAAGTTTGAAGTTAATACATAAATTTTTAAAAAAATCGCCTACTTCTCAAAATCCGACATGTTTTTTGAGGTTAGAAAAAATCCTGACGTGATGGAGCAAAACGGACTTCGGATTCGTGTTCAGCGCGTCAAAATACATAGGGTTAGGGTATTCCGGTCAAAAGTACATGACACTTTTTTTTTTGTGGGGCTGTGTTATTTTACCTTTAAATGTTAATTTATTTTAAAAGCACAACTTTTGTTAATGTACCAAATTATTCGTGATCATTTGAAGAATTCAATGCATACTTCGAAATGTTTTTTAAAGAAGTGCTTCAAAAACTACAAGTGAAAAGCTGAAACTTTACAAAATAATGGAAAGTAAAGTCACATCTTTTCTATTCCTTACCCTACTGATTTTAGGGATATCCTGAGGATATTCTAGGGATATCCTAGTGATATCCTGGGGATATTCTTGGGATAAACTTGGTATATCGTTAAAATATTCTAGAAATATCGCTAAGATCTCCCTAGGATATGATTATGATTCAAATTTTGACTATTTGAGATAGCGATTTTTTGATACAAATAGGTTTCTCGTTATTGTCAATCATCTTTCAAATCTGGGCTTTAAAGTTGATAATTAGAGCATATCAAACTATGAACAATAGTGAGTCTCAAACGTCTGG